GGTCTGAACCCACATCTGCTCCTCTCCTCGACCTTGTGTCCAGTGGGCTCCGTCTCCACTTTCTTGAGATTGAATTGAAGTCTATCTGGATTTTGGTGTGTCCATCTGGTGAAATCCATGTCGCCTTGTGTATATCCTTGTGTTTGAACACACTGCCACCAATCACCAACTCATTGAAGGCTCAGAAGTCTGAGAAGAGTTCACCATTGTCGTTCATGTCACCGAGGGCCTCTCGATCCATGGTGAGTTCTCTCCCTGTATTGTCTCCTCCCAGCTTCGCATTTATACTAACCATCAGAATCTTGATATCGCGATTTGGGACGTTGTCCATTATTGCTTGTAGTTGTCTGTAGAAAGCCTCCTTCTTCTCTTGTTCTGAGACGTTTGTAGGCGCATAGCATTGAATGATTGTAGCCTTCCTTCCTTTTGAGTTGAACCTAGCTGTCATTATCCTGGAGGAGAGTGGCTCCCACTGCATGAGAGCTTTGACTGTTGTTGGTGACATCATGATGGCCACTCCCTCGGTGTGCTCGTGATTGTCCTCTTGGTGACCGGAATAGATTATTATCTTTCCAGTTTGTAGTTGGCAACTTCCAAATCCGTTCCATCTGCTCTCTCAGATTCCCAAAACTTCTATTCTATATCCCTTCATTTCTATGGCTACTCGATAAACCTTTCCAGCTTCGTACGTTGTACGAACATTCCAGGTACCCATCCTTATTTTTGCTTACATCGAAAAGAGGGATATCGGCTGACTGGCTTCCCGAAGGCTTTCACCAGCTTGCATCATTTCACTTCCCCGATTTCAGTGAAAAATCAGGCTATTGTTTATGATTTTAGAAATTTTAATATATTTGTGCGTTAAAGTTTCTGTAGCGATTAGGTTAAGTTTTGTGGGTGGAACAGCTAGCACCACGCCCCAACCCTGCCTCTTTACCCGGGCTTGGGACCGGCGAGAAAACTAGTAAGCTAGTACCCTATTAAGCTAGTATCTGGCGAGGTTACATTGTATGATATTTATCTAGAAATGTGAACATATTAAACTGTGTTAAAATATCCCCGTATGATTCTATCTCAAATTTATGCAACGAAAGTACAGTTGAATAGTTCAAGTATCTGTGGACGACATCTGTGAAATCGCTTCATTGTACCGGAACCCTCTTGAAATACATGTCACTCATAAATCAACAAAAAGAACTTCAGTCAACTAAACCACACACAACGGAAAAGAAGGTAAAAGTAACATAATTCTAATAATAATATATTCTCATTTTGTACATGAGGGACTCCAGTTTACAGGCATCGTTAATATGATAAATTACATATGCGATTAGCAATCATACTTAATAATAACGTTTTGATAAAATAAATATTTTTTCCTACCTGTGTAGGACACACCAAATGTACAGGCATGGATAAGCATTATTTAAATTTCATAAATTTGGTTTATGGTTAAATTACATGGTTGCTGACGTTTTTGTCTTTGGTTTGTGGGAACATTATGATAACCAGTCATTCAATGGAGCACATCAACAAAAAGAACTTCAGTCAACCAAACCACACACAACGGGAAAGAAGGTAAAAGCAACATAATACTCAAATTCATAGGCGAGAAATTTGTGAAAGAAAGTGGTCAAAGTGGATTTCACTATTGTCTCCATACTTATGAGCGTAAAACTGTATGCTAACAAAAAAGATAACTAATTCGTATTAGCAGGTGAACCATGTTAGAAAATCTCCGAACTCAACAGATCAAGTTCATAGCTCTTAGAAGTAATGCCTGTCGAACTCATGCCAACCAAACTGAAGTCACTGCTGAATATTTGTCTACAAAGGCACTGAAAGCTTTCCGATTCAGAAGGAATAACTACATTAGTGACATTCTCATAATAATAATTTGCTTTATTCCAGAAACAGTACAAGTGGCACAGTGTGGAATTTTCAGCACATATCTACAATATTGCATCTAATTTCACCATACATTTAAAAGGAGTATTTAAAGATAAAAATATAAAAAACAACAAAAACCAAAAAGAAACACAAAGATAAAAGATGCAAATAGAAATACCAAATAGAAGGGAAGATAAAAAAACAATAATGAATAATATTTCAGTATTGGGTAGTGGAAGCTATGATATGTGTATGCGTGGTGAACTGTAACAGCTATAATCATACAAGAAGTTATGAAATGATACTAAGAATGTTTATAGCCAAGCTGATCAGTTAATTTGATTGGACTACACTAAACAATCATAAAAATAAACATTTCAGGGTTTTTTATTGTCAGCGCTAATCCGGTGTTTGTTGTGGTAGTGTGAGTAATCATGCATAATGCAAAATTTTAGGATGGTGATAACGGCGTTCACAACCAAGATTGTCAGGTTAATATTGCCGAACATAAAAAATTCACAAAACTAATATTACATGATGGTTTATGACAGGACAATTTGTAGTACTCATAGTGATAATATAGTCTGGACCAGTAGATACACAAAAGAAGGGTTAGAATAAAGAATAAAAAAGTAAGCCAGTGATAATAATTTTAAGTAGCTAAGTATGTTTAAGAAGGTTGTTCACTATAGAGTACAAATAAGAGAGAATAAGGGAGAAATAAAAGCGCCAAAATTATGTTATTAACAACGAAGGAAGTCATAGGCTTAACGCTTAACATTGTCTCTCACGCTTAGAACACGGGCCAAATATTGTATCGTTGACTTCCTGTACTTGGTTGTACGAGCATATATTATTTTGTACTGATTTCTGGTTCTACCTGATGAGATGCAAGGAGAGAGTTGGGAATGGAGAGGGTGTTGTGGGTCGGAGAGTATGGTATTCAGATGCTTATCTACTAATGTAGTGACTAGCTGACTGAGTTTTACACCACTAGTCCTACTAATTGCCTTCAGCGTCCTTCTCAGGATGGTGTAATCCTTTTTCAGTAACCCAGGAAAGACTAATGAGGAGGAGTAAAGTAGAATAGGTAGGATAGGAGAGTTGACAAAATGTGAAAGCAGAGGTTGAGTGATTCCAAATAGCCTGAGTTTCTTAATGTGGTAGGTTAGACGAAACACTTTCTTAGAAATCGTTTGGATATGAGGTGACCAAGTAAAGTCGGAATATAGAACTAGTCCGAGGTATTTTGCATTAGACTTAGTTTCAATTTTAGTCCCCTCAATGCTACAGGCTTCACGAGCGCCTCCTAATGTTTGTAGATCTCGTTTATGCGTAAAGGAGTAATCGATAATCTGACATTTTGAGGGATTCGGCATGAGGCCATTTAGTTTAGACCACTGACTGATGTCCGATAGGAAGCTATTTAATTTGAAGCAGTCTGACTGAGACTTAACGGGAAGCGAAACAGTCAGGTAATATGCATGTTTGACGAAGTTGATTTCGTCTGAAAGAGGTAAGTCATATGAGAAGAAGGAAGAGAGAAACGGAGAGAGAACAGCACCCTGAGGAACACCAGCTTCAGTAAGCAAAGGAGAGGAAGCTACACTATTATATACCATGTACTGTATCCTATTAGAGAAGGAAGAGTGCAGCCAGTTGATAGCCCAGGACTCAGTTTGTGTAAGACTAAGCTTATTTAACAAAAGGCCTCTAGGTACAGAGTCGAAAGCAGATGTGTAATCAAGGAACGTACAAGGGACATACTTGGTCCTTCCGTCTAAGGAGGATGCAATGTTGTGATGAAACACAGCAGCAGCGTCTAAAGTACTTCTTCTATCTTTCCACAGAGAAGGTACAACATTATTAGAAAAAGAAGTATTGAAAAGGTTTGTAAGTGGGTTAGTTAAAATATTAGCACATTTCCTTAGATCAATGGCAGGTATACCGTCAGGGCCTAGACCCTGGGAAGGTTTAAGATGTTTTAAACATTTAAGAACATCAGAAGTATTGAAACTATGAGAGTCACTGGTCGTGTTATTAGTTGAATTGAAGGCAAAAGGGACATTTGGAGGGCGGATAGAAGATATGTTGAGAGTATTTACATCACTAGAATGGGCACAATTACTATGCTCACCACAACCTGTAATATCTCGAAAAAAGCTTCCACATGTTTTCTGGAGTTTTACAAGACAGTATTGTTTGATCATAAATATTGTTTAGCCCCTTGTTTCCAGATTAAATTTAGATGTTTACCTTCCTAAGACCAGACTTATTCTTTGTCTTGTATAGCCTCTCCTTTCCTCTTCGAAGCTTTTTGAGATTAGGGGAAGAGAAACAGTATCTGTTTTGGACAGCATACATCAAGGCAAAATTTAAGATAGCCAGTCAAATTGGAAACATATCTTCAGTCTAAAGCACTTCAGACATGAGGGCGTAAATCTGAAAACTCTTAGACAGTTTTCGATGGCCAGTGACACTTCATTCACCAGTGTCTATCGGTACTCGTCAGACATACAGTGGAACATCACTGCGTAGCTTCGTCCGGAAAGACATATTTGAGTAAGTTATGGCTCTACGTCTCCTATCTAGGAAGTAATCTTGGATTAAATTTAGCAGCCCTAACTGTTCTGGATATTTCAGATTTCTTGTGAAGCCTTATGAAGGCTATGGGAAAAGAAGTTGAAATATTCCTTGCTGTCATTCTGCGAAACCCAACTTTCACTTGATGTAAAACATTATACCAGACAAAACGAGTTACCCAAGAAGTTTTTTTGAAGGGATAATGAGCATTTTTTCCATGTATGCACTGAAATCCTTTCGTTTATTCCTTCCAGCATGATGATCGAAGTATTGGTGAAACTGACAGGCCTGTATTCTTCAGGACACTTCGAACTTCCTGCAAACAGGCTTACAGCTGACTACTAGATGAACTACATGTTTAAGAATTCATCCAGTATGAATGAAAAGTTAGTAAAAGCAAGAAATGGGAGAGTTTAGTCCATTTGATTTATATAATAGAGTCAAATACCAATTGAGTTTTGAATTTTTGAAAATATTTCAACCGCCTGTTTCATTTTTGTTAGGTATTATCGTCAGAGCCAGTTCTAATGGCTGCCTGTCTGGGAAGTCTCATAGCTCTAACGGTTTTATCGTTATCCGAAATTCAGGTAGGCTATCATATATTCCGGTGAAAATAAATTTCATGGATTACGGTTTTTAATGGATATCTAGATATAATGTATGTACTTTCTGATAGCGGATAGTCGAAGTCAGTAACTTTAAACACACTCTGAGAGTTATTCGAGGACTGGCAAATCCTTTTCGAAGCTTCAAAAGAGTCTAATCACCTAAATTTTATTTCGACAACCCTCAGCATTATCAAAGAATCTGGGTGTAATTTCGACGAAATTTGGGTGGTGTTTGAGAAACTTGCCTAATACTTCACTTTCAACTGTCTTGGAATTTTCCACAGCAGTCCAAGATTTCTAAATACGGACATTTTCACACTGCACTCTGACTCGTTTTCATATGCTGTCCTTTTTTACTAGGCGGTTTTGAAATAATTCAGCCTGTTTTATGCATTAATAAAGTAATTTTTCCCAGTCCCCATTATATAGAGTATAACATTCTTCAAAATTGCATACATCTTTAGAGGTTGTCATTTGGTTATTTTGAATATAAGTCACATGCATTCGTGATTAGAAAACATTCCACAGTGAAAGTGCTTTATTTTTATATCTAGGGAAAACTATAGTGTGTGGTTTAGTTTCCATTTTGTAACAATAGCTTATGTTGACCGCATTTTGGTAATGTAGTTCACTGTGTCTTCGAATTTATACGATAGTGATTATAATATTACTTGCACCGTGATTAGTTAATTTGTATAACGACAGACAAGGAATAGTTAAAAAGACAAGGGTAGGCCAGCTATTTGGTCTTTCAAAATGATATGCATATTTTGAAATTAACCTTACTGAATCAACATGCTTGTCCAGCCAAACAGGAAACCAGCATGAATAACTAAACATAAAGCGACAACGTGCTAAGTGGTCAGAGTGAGTGCCTTCAGCATAACCATTCCATTCACGGTTAGAGTCGAGTGTCGATTCAGCTGCAGGCGACAGCTGGCTTGATAAATTTGCAGGGTTTTGTCGGCGGTATTGAAACGGTTTTAGATCCTCTTCATCAGTTATAAGCATAATTCCGTAGAGTAGGGTGTTCTTCCTGGGTTTTTAACCGTATAATTACCTCGGAAATATTTCTGAACATATTCAGCAACTGTTTTACAACCGTGTTTTGTTTTCTGTTTCGTGTATCATCATGTATCATTTGTAGTTCAAAAATATAAGTCGTAGAGTCTCAAATCGTGCATATTTGTCGAAGCTGCACAATAAATCTAGGTTAAATTTAGCATATTATAAACACTTACATGTTTTCAGACGGTGTTATTATGCTTTGGACCGATTTGGTTAATACGTTGTGATCTCACTTTAAATGGTTTTTAGGCGTGCGGTAGAAATCCTTCTTTGGGTACCATCTATGATTTCAATGTTACAGATATCGACGGACGAGAGATCCAACTGAGTAAATACAGGTAAGTGGTATACAAATCCTTTAGTATATGCATTCATTTCAGGAACAAAGTTTGTATTATTGTAAACGTTGCTACGGAATGAGGACTGGCGAAAACAAACTATCCTCAGCTTCAGAGATTGTATACCCAATATTTCGAGGATGGTTTGCGTGTTCTAGCTTTTCCTTGTAACCAATTTAAAGGACAGGTGGTTTCTTCTATGTATCAACAGTTTATTTTAAGGAACCTGGGACCGATCAAGAAATAAAACAACGTGTATTGGCCAAGTATAACATAACATTTGATTTATTCCACAAAATTGATGTGAACGGTGATAACGCTATCCCACTCTACGTTTTCCTTAAGCAATCCGTATCATCTTGGTTTTCCAGGTAAGGTCATAAATTGCTTGATGTTTTCACTTAATGTCAGTGTGTATTTAGATTAAAGATTTTAACCGGTATGAGATTTTAATAAAACCTCATAACATTAAGTATAGTCAAAATTAAAACTTGTGCAACTGATTATTGACTTCTAGTCCTTTTGGTGACACATCAGAATGCTTCTGTACTATCCGTACTAAGTCTTTATCTTTGCATTACTTTTGAAAATGCACGAAAACGTTGACGAAACCTGATTAAGCTCTCTATGTATGTTTAGTTATGAATTTATTTTTTGTGAGAAGTGATTCTCAGTCACATATTCATGACGAAATTAGTCAAACAGCTGCATATTTTTTACAAGAAGCGGCTACATCTCCAAATTTATTTTCTGGCTTTGATTTGGGAGCACTTAATGGTACGTTACATGGTAGGCTTATATAAGTTTCGCCACTTTCGAGATGTCCAGGACTCATCCGTTGTGTACGCTGTAGTCACATAATTAGGGCTGCATAAAGAGATTCCTGCAAACCTCGCATTCAAATATAATTAAATCAGTTTAACTTTAAATTTTACGATTTATCATTCACACAGACATTTTTCTGTATACAAAATATACTGTTTGTTGACTAATCAGTGTGCATTTTCAATTTCGCGGTACAATAAAATGCGAACAGATGTAAAATCTGATTAACTTGAAAGTGAAATTTTGTGATTTAAGTGCACAAGTTTTAGTGAACTACTGTAATAAATGACATGTTTCTGCTCCAAGTGCACTAATCTAAAAGGTATTATTTATTTATTTATTTAATTTTTACCATGTTTCTATGCTTTATAAAACACCACTTATTACAACAATATATATATATATATATATATATATATATATATATATATATTGACACTTCACAGTGAATACATTTCGTTATTTGACATTTTATCTTAGAAATATTGAGTGGAATTTTGTTAAATTTCTGGTAGACAGGAATGGGTATCCTGTATCTCGTTACAGTTCAATAACTTCACCAAATGTAAGTTTGACTGATTTTATCACTTCTCTATAAAGTAAAAAATCAATGGTTATTTATAACGTCTATATTAAGAGGAACATCTAGTGTCAACCACGACAGTGCTTTCAAACACGTATCACAAGGTGGTTGGAAAAAGCTCTAGAATACTTCACGAATAAAAATAGTTTGACAATGTAATGGATCAAATTGATTATATTTGTATTTCAACATTTTTTGCACACAGTAATGAGTTTTTTTATTTTTGTAATATTTTGAACGAAACTATTGCTCGTGATCCCACCAACTGTTGGCATTGTTTTGGAATTAAAAAGCTGTTTACAAACATTAAGTGTGATGAATGTTATACCTAAGAATTCTAGCGTAGAGAGCCAATTTTATAAACTTTCCTGGTAGAACAAAAAAGTAACCAGACTTCTTATTTAAAAACGAAATTTCGTAAAGAGTATGCATGAAACAGAAAAGCTGTAGGCTTCAGTCAACGTTAGGTAATCAGTATCAGTTGTCTTATTCAGTCCATAATACATGTATTGCAGTAAATAGAATAAAAAATTAGTAATAATTAAAGGGTCTAAAAGAGATGTAAACATCGGTTTCATTTATCTGGCTTACTGTAATTATAATAACACAACTGTTTCGAAAAATTAAGTGTTTCATTTCGTTTCGATCTCTCTTAAACATAAAGCCGACTCTTATCTCCATAGTGGTCACCTTTCTGCAAGAAAGATGCAAGAATTTGAACTTTTTAATTATCTGTTAGCTAGCTGTTTGCAGGATAACAGAAAATTTGTAAAAAATGCGCGTACAATCCGTGAGTATCATTGTCGTATCTTATGTATAGGCTGCTGTTGGTTAACCTAAAATTTAAAAGTTATTAGGGAGACTGGTTTACTCTCAGGTCATGTCTTTATTTCTCACCAAATATCAGAGTAAAGTCGCAGACGCTTCAGATGAATAGTAAGTGCTTACTGACATCAGATCTAACTCTGATTTATTTGAAGGGATTGCGTTTCGAAAGTAGCTGCAATATCCTTGAAGCCATGTACAGAACTACCTACCTACAAGTTAAAAAGAGTCTAGGATTCCCATTCATTGTGATCTGAAGATAACTCTAAAAAATTTGTGAACGAGGTTTTAACCAACCAACTGGAGGGTCTTGATTTTCGGCATCAAAAAATCTGTTAGCTATGCTATAAGTTTGCTAAACAGTGATCCTATCAATCAACTATTAATCATCATAAGTACAGCAGAAACCTTATACTGTCAAACTACGAAACTGTAAGCAGCAATCAATCCTTAAAAATATTCAAACATTTTGTGTATCAGAATATTTCTCCATCGTTGAAACTGGCTTTACGAAAAAGATCGCTTTTAAAACAACAAAGTCCATATCAAAGTACGTCAGATGCCTTTGATTTCCCACCAACTGCGGTCTTTTAGTTTTTTGTTTCCTTTATAACACTTACCTATCGCAAGGTCTTGGAAAACTCGACAAGCGTATTCTTTACATAACCATGGCTTGTGTTAACGTGTTCGTAAAATCACTGACCAAAATGATTGACACTCACTCAAACACTGTTTATTACAAGTTAATATCTAGACAGTTTAGTTGACACCTGTCAGTATTCACCTTAACATATAAGTACAAGTTGTTGTTATTGAGAATTGAGTTTAAAAAAGGCATCCATTAGTGCAAACAGCGTCAATAAATACTAATAGCTATGCCATTGTGACCGATGAAGTAGGATGCAACTTTGATAAGCAATTTTTTCGCCTTCGGGAAGTCATGAGGTTAACAATGGTTCAAATAAACCAAATAAAATGTTGGCATTGGTTACTTCATTCGATACCTATATATTTAAAGCTACAGCGAAACAACAGAGTTCAACGTACATGTAAACTGGAATATCAGTGGGTTTGCTAATACAAGTCGTTTTCAGGTGAAAATGACCTGAATTACTAATTGTTTTGATGTATCTAAACACCTGATAACGTTATTAATAGTCAATGAGGAAATAACTTGCACAGTATAACGAACAACAGTTTAACGATCACTGATTGAATAAGAATCATGAGTAACTATTTTCTCTAAATAAATTGAAAATATTTGAAAAAAACAACTTAAAAATACTGATTAATCACGTCAAATAATTAGTTGCAATGCTTGATGCATTCATAACTTTAAGGACGATCACCTAATCTTCCAGGTCACTAGATGTCTCGCTAAAGGTTACGATCCCCTCAATTTTACGTAGTGGAGGTATTATTTACAATGAATTAGGTATGATTTTCTTCTTAGTTATTATCTTCATTAACGTGTCATTAATATTAATATATGTGTAAAACTTGGGCACTGTGGTAGTAAGTAATTCCATATTAGTTTGCTTATGTGCGTCGGTGGCACAGTGGTTAGGACTCTCGCCGACCATGCACATGGTCGGGGTTCGAGCCCTCGCCGATGCACACCTGATATCTATGGTCGGCCTGCGAAATTTGGGCTACCGATATCCACGCTGAAAATTCCGTACTTGTACCAAAAATACAGTGTGGAATCAAGGTGTAATCAAAAATAAAAATAAAAAAATAAGATATATCACACAGTGAAACAGTATTATTTACTGGATGACGTTTCGAACAAAATTTATTGTTCATAATCATATCAATTGTAATCCCATGACTTCGAAACTTCAGTTTCATAGTTTTCTTTGTTCACTCCTATTTCTCGTCGTGGGGGTAAGAGAATTTTTCCAGATATCTGGGACAGGTGTTGAATCATTCTTATTACATGGCATTAAACCCACAAACTCAATTAGAAACAAAGTTTGCCGGTTAAAGGATCCTGTGGAGCATTTAAAACAAAACAATTTAGTTTATCTAATACCCTGCTAGAATGATTGTCAAGTCAAATACGTAGGTCAAACTAGTAGAATAGGGGCAGTCAGACTAGCCGAACATAAAAACCTGGTAAAATCTAGATTGGTTGACCCAAATAAGATAAGAAATCCAGAGAGCAGTTCAGCTATAGCACTACATGCAGTTGCACACAACCATACAATAGGATGGAATAGGATGACAGTTTTCAAAATCTAATGTAACAGGGTAGGGGTGGGGAGAAATTGATAACAGAAGCTTTGTTTATCGAATCAACTGCAAATACATATAATAGGAATGATTCAACACCTGTCCCAGATATCTGGAAAAATTCTCTTACCCCACGACGAGAAATAGGAGCGAACAAAGAAAACTATGAAACTGAAGTTTCGAAGTCGTGGGATTACAATTGATATGATTATGAACAGCAATAAATTTTGTTCGAAACTTCATCCAGTAAATAATACTGTTTCACTGTGTGATATATCTAATAAGCAAACTAATATGTCATCAATATTAATGTTAAAAGACCTTTGAAGAAACGTTTCAGTCCAGATCCAATTAATAGTACTAAACAGTAGTTTTGATGATACAGAATAAAGAATACAATACTTTGCTAGTAAGACTGCCAACAGTTCATTCACTCTGTATAATGAGATGTCCTTAACTGAAAATAAACACTAATTTATTTTCCTGTGGTGTGCCGACTGAAATCGTATTGTTATAGAGATGTGAAGTTGCTTACAGTCTTAACTTTTCAGCTATTGCATTCACTGTATCCCCATACCACATCGAAGCTGTACGTAATAGTAATTGTTTTAAATTAATTTTCATATGATCATGAATATCTGCTTTTTTTTAAAAAATTTGTTTACAGACTATGGAACCAGAAATTAGAAAGTTACTTGGCCTTCAAGATCAGCAATAAAATTATTTAATTTATTGTATTTCGGTCCCAGTATATATACACTGATTCTGTTATTATTTATTAAACTTAGATGATCAGCATACAATATTCACGAAAGAAGTAGTTATACGATCAGTTAATGACGAATATGTTTAAAAGTCGTATTGACGACAAAGCATATTCTGATATGAAAATCAAAACTCTGGGTATACAGTTTTGATAAGATCTATAACTGCTTTTAAAAGTGTATAATTAACTGTTCATTTTACCCCTGTTTTCTTACATGCTAATTATAAAAATGTACTAAACCATTAGATTTATTTTATTGTTTTTTCGGTTCGTACCAATGCGTATAATTTCTAAGGGACTACTGACTTTAGGCTTCTGGAGTAATGGTGCTATCTAGACTTATCTAGTCTTAAATCAGTCTAGAAATTTAAATAATGTTCCATGCTATAGAAATCTAATACAAATGTCTCGTCAGTTTACATAAGTATTCTGAATATTTAGTACGTTCGTTGGCATTAATTACCAAAGAAAATATCCTTACTAAAACAATTGTAGTACGTATCTCCTCATGCATTTCACTGTTTATCTTTGTTGAAGATATGAATGCGATTTAATTTTGTCTAAATGAATCGTTTGAAACCATCCTGTTTATTTTAAAATAATGAAAAGAGGTATTGTGGGCTTTCAAATACAAGCGTCTTTATTATTATTCACCACTTGCGTCCCAAGTGGGAAATAGGATTTTAGCAACACATCTGTTGTCTCTTTTAGCTGATTCCACGATATCCAACAAGCTTAGTATTGCTCTCTACATGGTCTCCTCTATCATATGCTTGCCTAGCATACAACACTTCGCTTCCTATTCGGCTTCAACTCGACCGGTTGAACAGTCAAAGAATTCAAAATTCGCCCAAGCGTATGACAAATATCCCAGTCGGTTACTTTTTTTGTGGACCTGGGATATGTGGGTAAAAACGTGGGTAGTTTTCCGTTTAAATGTGGGCAAAGTGGGATAAGGTGGGCTGTTTTCGTTTGTAACATGGGCAAAGTGGGAATAAGTGGGCTGTTTTCTAAAATGACATGGGCAAACGGGGAAAAAGTGGGTATATTTTGAATTCCTGCACATGGGATAAATGGGTGAAAACGTGGGTTACGTGGGAAAACTGGGAAAAGGTGGGACAAACAAATTTTATCTGGACATGGGAAAACGGGGAAAAAGTGGGAAATGTGGCCAAAGTGGGTAAAATCGGTTGCATTTACACCATCTTTTGCCCACGTGTTTGCCGATCTAAATTACCCATTTATCCCACGTTTGCCCATGTGCATTAACCGACTGGGATATTTATTTAAACTATACACATGCGTAGTCTACCAGTTCAGAGCCAGATACTTTATTCTGCTTGTATGGTTCCCAAATTTCAGTATTGATCAAAGGAGGCCAGTCTTGATGAAATTCTGCAGCAGACCGTCGGAAGTGCTACTAATGACGAACACCAAGTCTCTGGAACATAGAGAAACACCAGCGTTACATCAGAGTTGGGAATTCGCGTGTTGTTCTGGGCGAGTGCAGTAGATTTCCACACAGATCATAGACTAATTAAAGGACTGCTTGGTTCTGACATCGTCATCTGAGCCAGCTGCATGCAGTTGAAACAATGCTACTGAGACTTATCCCACTGATGATGGCTGGTGCGTGCTATTATTGTTGGTCGGGTACCTTCATCATCTGTGCTTTCTCTTTGTACATCTGAAGTCCAGTCTTCGCTGCCTCTTCTTCCAACCTGTTGGTTTCTCTCCGAATTTGTGTAACACTCACTATACATGAATCATCCTTGAAATCCAGATATTTTAGTGTTGTTTTGTTTGTCCGATGTAAGTGCATCTCCCTACTCCTCACGGTTTGATGTATGATGCATGTTTGAACTCACCAAGTTAGTTGACCAGCCACGGATTTCTTGTGAACCATTACATGTTTTGTCGCTTCTCCGTTCCTAGGAGAGCTATACCAGTTCCGCCTATGTCAATATCTGAAAGTTCCAGTGTTCGTTCACTCTGGCTTCCTCAGTGATGTTCAATGTCTCCGAACACCTTGTGTGTCGTCGCTTGTGTTAATCTCAAACGCTTCACTAAGCTGTTCGTTGTTGGTTTTCGGTATCAACATATATCTATTAAGTGAGGTGCATCATTGTTAACCACAGTGTATTCCCGTAACGTTGAGGCAGTCACCAAATTACTTCATAGTCGATGCTGTCGAAGGTCTTTACAAAGTCAATGATGCTGAGATAGAGAGTTGACTGCCATTGTATGCTCTGTCCGGTAACGATGCGTAGTGTTGCAATTCGACCAGCATATGATTTAGGTGTCCTCAACCCAGTCAGTTCAATTCAAGGCGACTGTGTCGACTAATCTGAGAATCTCGGAGATCCTAAACTAAGAGTCTAAAGCCAGTTATTTGTGAAGAGTACGACCACCCAATCAGTTGTCTACAACGTTTTGTACCAGTTAAAATACAAGTTCCAAGCTAATTAATAGTCTCTAAATATTTTGACCTCATTGGTGTATTTTCACTAGACTGAAAAACCATCACTCGTTTTATGTTACCAGTGAGTCTGTCTATTTCCCATAGATGCTATGATGACACGGTTTTCAATCTCCAATTAAGCACTAGTTAACCAACAAGACTAACAGAAAGATGAGGTGTAGCACCAGTTATTAAGTTTGTTGGTAAAAACGGAACTCTCACGTGTATGTGTGAATGATTTTTATGCTGAAGTAGGAAGACGGTCAAAGAGAAAAATCTTATATCACGAGTGTATACCATCTCTAGTGAGGAAGAAGTTACAACCGTGATTTTCCACATGACCGTTTGTTTCAGAATTAGGATTGGTCAAATTGGAACTTGACATCACCCTATAAAGTCTCTGATAGGGAAATGTCTGACTGAGGTCGAGGAGACTCTGTCTGTGTGTTTTCGACATAGAACTTTGCACATATGTGCGACAGTTGAAGTCGCCACACTCCATGTTGCACACAAAGCAACAGATGAAAGTCGAAGAAATGCATAATACAGTAAGCAGAGGTGTGAGACAAAGGAAGAGTAATAACGAAGAACAAAACAGCTTCTTTGAAATCATAAGTCACAAGGAGTGAATGCATCTGCGCCACTGAGAATGATTTTGAGCCATGTCACCAATTGTTTCCAACCATAGGTTTTTACCGTCCCGAGGACCTCAACCTGGAAGTCTACACCTTCCTACTTGGCTTAGACTAACTGTTGTGGATTTCATTGACTGGTGAGCCAAGTTTTTGTTTGACCGCCGCTAGCTTTTTTCCAGCCTGACCCTATATCCGCTAACATTGCTCGTCGAGGTAGGCGATGACTTGGCATACGTAACACATGTCCTAACCATCTCAGTCTTTGTAACTTCACGACTTCGTCGATTGATTTCCCCTCCTTACCTAGAACTCGACGCCTAACCTAGATATTGCTCACCTTATTATGCCACTTCACACGGGAGATAGAACGCAGGCACCTATGATCAAAGACAGCTAGTCTTTTCATGTCTTCCACTCTCAGTGGCCAGGTCTCACAACCATAAAGGAGGACGGAGCGGACTGATGAGCAGTACACCCGCCCTTTGGTCGATAGTCGAATATCTCGTCTACGCCAGAGTCGGCGTAAACTGGCAAATGCGAAACGAGCCCCCTGTATTCGTGCTGAGATTTCGTCAGAGATCAACCCGTTGGGGCTGATGGTACTTCCCAAATAAGTGAAGCGGTCAACGTGCTCTACCACTTCACTTCCTATTTTTAAACTAGGCGTCGATGTAGTCCAGTCCTGTAACATCATCTTGCATTTGGCGGGAGCGAATCGCATGCCAAACATTCGTAGATTGCAGCTCAAGGTGTTTAGAAGACTCTGCATTTTGTCAGCGTCTTCGCCTAGAAGGACTATATCGTCTGCATATTCCAAGTCAACGAGATTATTCCCTGGTAGCAAGTCAATCCCTGAGTCGCTGAAGTCACTTAGGGTTAAGTCCATTAACACATCTATGATGAAGTTGAATAGAAAAGGGATAATGGGCATCCTTGACGGACACCACTGGTCGTCACCAGTTCAGATGACAGCTCGCCGTAAGCCCTCACCTGGCTGTATGAGTACGAGTAGAGTGCCTTAATCAGTGCAATATATTTTCTTGGAATTCCCTTTACAGCCAAGCATCTCCAGAGAACTTCCCGATCGACAGAGTCGAATGCTGCCTTTAGGTCAAGAAATATAATGACTGTTGGACGCCGGTAGGAATGCCTATGTTCTAGAATCTGTCGGAGGGTGAAGATATGATCAATACACCCTCTTCCTGGTCTAAAGCCTGCCTGGCTCTCTCGTGTTTGTGCCTCCCGAGCACCACTCAGTCTACGCATGATTATTGAGCCTAAGACTTTAGATACTATATTAGTCAAGCTAATCCCTCTGTGATTATCACAGGAAGACTTGTCTCCCTTCTTGTATATCGGGATAATCAGTGACTTCTGATTCCCAGACGCTGCCTAGTACCTCAGTTAATGCAGACAGTAAGCTGTCTCCACCGTACTTAAATACCTCTGGAGTCATTCCATCAGGTCCCGCTGCTTTGCCTAGTTTCAGATTGGTGACAGCTTTAGTAACCTCAGTTAGGGATGGAGGACCTGTGTCTATATCCCATTCAGGGAGGTGTTGGATGCTCGGAAGGTTGAGCGTGGCTGTGGGCCAATTAAACTGCTCCTCATAATGCTCTTTCCAACGATCCAGTCGTCTATCCTGGGAGCTAATTATAGTGCCATTTTTTTCCGAGATTGTTTCACTCATGATTTGTCTTCTCCCACCCGTTTCCCTGATGAGTCTAAAGAGTTGCCTGGTGTTGCCTATCCTCGAAGCTTTCTCCATCTCTTTGGCTTTTGTCACCCACCACTGTTCACGGTCCTTGCGGAGTCGTAAGTTTCCTTTTGTGCAGCTTTCGCTCCTCATTGAATTC